ACCCTAAAGCGTTTGATAAAAAGAAACAATTCAGAATAAGGAAGAGAAATAAAATTTAAATCCAGTCTTCCAACCTTTGAACCGTTCTTCATTTCATTATTAGTGCGATGTTGACTATATATATAGGCAGAACAGATCCAAGATTGCAAACCCGAATCAGCAAATGGAAAGGTCGACAATTAATATAAGTGCGATAATGTATCAGGTTCATCTATAGTTAATCATTTGAATAAAATAAAAGAAATGAACAAGGTCTTATAGCCTAGACATGTTTCTCAGTATTAAATAAGGCTAATACCGATTATCCCTTGAATGTTTTCAAATGAGTGTATATTAAGTCCTACCAGCCATAGAAAGTGATTAGTCTTTAATGTCATATTTTGTTTGCAGATAACATTAGGTTAGGATTGTATATATTTTTAAATACTGTTCGCATATTTTGTCCCCAATTTTTTGCTCTGATAAATCGGTTTAAATTTTTTTAGTAACATTTTTTGTGTAATATATATATATATATATATATATATATATATATATATATATATATATATATATATATATATATATATAAAGATAAATTTTTAACTCACGACGTATGAAGGTCAAAACATATCAGTTCCCAATAAAACCAACCACCCGACAACGGCATGAAGTTTTGATTATAGTGGTGAAGGTTTCGTGCAGGACCATCCACACTTTTGAAGGGCCGAATAATAAAGAGACCTGGTGCACTACGGCCACAAGGTCCCAAACGACTCTCCGAGGTTTTTCCTTAAAGTTGACTTTCCCTAGACCAGTTGCCATCCAAGGCTATAGAACCCAGTCTGTCCTGCTATTTACCCATAGCTGGAGGGGAAAGAAGAGGATTCATACCTTTCCCACCAGTATTAGCACGAAGTGAATGTAATGGAACACTGGCATTCGAACTCCAGCTAACCGATTCCTCAACTGGCCGATATCCATGGACAACTCTGAATTCAATAACTCATTTCAAATTCCAGGCTTGATGACCTTTGTCATTAGTGCACCAGGTCTCTGTATTCGGCCCTTCAAAAAGTGTGGATCCTGCACGAAACCTTCAATCACTATAATCAAATTCATGGTGCTGTTGTCAACCATGTCGGTTTTTTGGTGTGTCAATAGAAACTGAATCTAATTTGACCTTATCCAACTACGTCGAATTCGACGGGAGAGTCAATATATATGTGTGTGTGTGTACGTGTGTGTATATGTTATTAAAGAAAAAACAAAAACATTGGTGTAACCAGAGACATCTTGCCAAATGACGTAACATCCTAATCAATACAAAAACTCGAACATATACAGAAAGAAGAAAAAATAGAAAAGGACTTAAAAGTAAACAATCACCTACTCAGTAAAGGGCTCAAAGCCGAGACAGAGCAAAAAAAGAAAAAGAAAGTTTCACAACGTTAAGATGCCTTCCAGATCCTAAACAAAGTATTAAGAAACACGAACATTCCGTTAGACACAAAGAAAATATAAAACTGCTATGCAATAACGGTCCTTCTATATAGCAGTGAATACTGGACAATCTCATCAAAGATGAAGGAGATACTTAAAGCAACAGGCCTGTGGTTCTGTAGAAGGATGCTGAGAATACTATGGACTGAAGAGGTGATCAACGTCAAAGTTTTAGAGAATATGGGAAAAAAGGGTACTTATGCTTAACATCAGAAAGAGTCAGTTGAAATATCTCGGGTATATAATGAGGAAAGACGGCTAAGAAAAACTGACACTCACAGGACATATTGAAAGCAAAGAAGACAGAGGGGAAACAGGGCATAACCTATCTTAAGAGTTTCTGTCAATGGCGTTCGGAACAGGAATTAGGATAGATAGCAAAATGACAAATATTTGCTTAAGTTGAGAATTTTATCACCAAAATTCATCTTGCAGGATTATCAATTTGCCAGTAGTCCGAGCATGGGTTATTGCTGCCAGATTATTTGTTTGGTACTTTTCCTATAGATCTGCAGATTCTTTATAAAATTCAAAGTGTCTGTAATGTTAACGGTCCTGAGCTGGCATCTCGACTACAGTCCCTTTCTCATTACTGCGACGTGGCTTCTCTGTATCTATTCCATGAAAATGTTTTCACAGCAATTGTTCTAATGGGCTTCTTGGTACATCAACTGTATGAATTTAGACGTAGAAACAAAAAAACGAGTACTGAACTGTTATGTAATATCGGTCCTCCTATTTGGCAGTGAATGCTTGACAATTACATCTTATCTGTCTATATCTCTGAGTTGAGGTAATATGATTACTTGCATTATTTACATTATTCAGTTATCCTCATCTTCATTCTATTCACAATGTTTTCGGCCTCTATATTCTGAGATGAGGTATTATGTTTATTTATTATTTACATTATTCGGACTCGGCCTCTTTTATTGCCATATTCACAACGTTCCGGTTTCTATATCTCTGAGATGAGGTATTATGTTTATTTACATTTTTTACATTTTATTGGACAACGTTTCGGCCTCTATCCTGAGATGAGGTATTTAATTAAATTGCCATATTTACAATTCGTTTTATCCTCATATCTTGCTGAGATTCCGGTTTCTATATCTCTGAGATGAGGTATTATGATTATTTACATTATTCGGACTTTTATCCACATCTTTATTGCCATATTCACAACGTTTTGGCTTCTATATCTCTGAGATGAGGTATTGTTACGTGTTGATAATTGCAACAAAGGAAAAAAAAAATTATTTACCACAACACAGAGCTAAATCACAAACAAATATTTAATTTACTAAAACAGAACATAAAATATATACAAGATAAACAATTGTAACCTACAAAACAGAAAACACAGAGTTACTGGCAAGTGTTACGAGGGAGAAGGAAAGGGGGATCAAATATCTTTATCACTTTAGGCCTAGTGAAGTAATCTAAGTGCTATATTTGGAAATCCACAAAGGGTGTAAATAAATATTAATTTTTAGTTTGGTCAATGAAAATTAGTCAAAATTCTATTTACCAAATTTGTTCCATGAAATTCTCTTTTGGGTTTTGGTTGGTCCCGGCAACTTTTTATAGAGATTCTTTCGGCTGGATATAATAGTCCTTGAATCAAAAGCCGGAGTTGATAACAGCAGAAATTTCCATTCATCAACTGACAACCCTTTTCCAAAATCCCATTTTTATAGGGGCTAACACCTAATTTGCATATTTCTAGATGTTTCTCGAATCATCTAGATTTTTCTCGAATATACTAGAATGATCTAGAATCTTCCAAACATTCTATTTCTAATTTCTCTATTTTACAACTACTTCATGAATGAAAACTTTTTTGTAATAACAAGTAGAACTCAAAGGAATCCCTTATTATAGAAATGCATCCTCGTAACAGTATTATGATTATTTACATTAATTACATTATTCGGACTTTTATCCACATCTTTATTGCCATATTCACAACGTTTCGGCCTCTATATCTCTGAGATGAGGTATTATGATTACATGCATTATTTATATTATTCGGACTGTTATCCTCATTTTCATTGCCATATTCACAACGTTTCTGGCGTTCTACGCTCCGGCTTTCTTCACATGATCCTGTGGATAAAGAAATTGATTAGACCTAGTGACTAGACCCAATGATTTGTGAGTTCAATACCAGGCCAAAGCAGTGTTGAACAAAAAAACTTGGCGAGTTGAGTTAAAGGGAAATAACTGAGACATACGGAAGAGGCATGGCACGTGGAACTAGAGGAATCTATTCTGGTGGACGAAATAATGCTTCGGTTCGAAATTCCAATCACCTGAAAAAGGCCGGGGCGTACAGGTGGAGAAACGTTGTGAATATGGCAATGAAAATGACGATAACAGTCCGAATAATGCAAGTAATTTCATCTTATATGAAGAAATGACTTTAGGCAATGAAAATGTGATTCTACAGAAGGATGCTGAGAATATAACGATTAACGTGCGATAAGCCAACATAACGTAGATAGATGGCACTTCAGGTACATGGAGAAATAGTGACAAAACTTACAAAGATCTTCAAAGAATCGGAAAGTGTGAGAAACGCCACGGTACATAGAACTGGTCGATTGTTTTTTTTTTTACAGTTTATCAACTCGTTGCAGTTTATTTAAAAGCCTCAAAATGTTTTTTAGATTGTCAGAATATTTTGGAGATAATAATGAATTATTGATACAAGTCCTACTATTTAACCCATAGTTGGGTGAGGAAGAGGTGAATTCATGTTCTTCGCAAGGGTATTTGCGTGTAAGTGAATTTAACGAACCCAGTCGGAATTGGAACTTGGCTCTCCGATTTCATTACGCAACCTGGACATCTAAGCTTGCAACACATAGTGTTCGGAAGCGGTCGTCACCCATCCAGCTACTGACCAGCCTTGATGTTGCTTAACTTCGGCGATCGTAAAAGATGTTTCAAACTGATAAGACACGGCAAATAGAAGAAGA